TAAAGAGTGTTTTGTTCTTAAGAATCTTTTACTAAGGGGGCTTATTGGGAGTTGAATTTTCATAAAATTGATTGATTTTTAAAATCAATAGATTTTATTAAATTTTGTAGAGAATTGTGTATATTTTAAAAGTTTAGTTATAAAAATTTTAAGAATCCAATGGGTATCCAAGGTATTCTTAAAATCTTGTTTAATGAGTAAAATTATAAGAAATCTATCATCCAATAACCGTAGATTCTAGTAGATTTATAAAATCAATAAAAACTAAATTTTTTAAATAACAATAAATTTTGAATGGAATTTAAAAGTCATCAAACCAATAACAAAGGATTTCATTAAAAATATTATAATCCATAAACCGATAACAATGAATTCTAAAAATTTTAAAAATCTTTAAGAATCCATCTACCAAATAACCCTTTAAATGTTAATTCAATTGGTTTAATCCCGATTGAGTCACTCAGCACAATCATTCAAAGCTAAAAATAAATGAAACCGTAAATTAAATCTATGTAAATTGTTAAAGGAAAAAAAAAATAGTCTTCTTTAATGGAATTTTCACTAAAAATTAAACAAGTCACGATCAAATGGGACCCACTCGCCTCTTCCAAACAACGAGGAGGCTACAACACACTTGAAGTGGGTCCCTTGAAAACAAAGTTAACGAACACTAAATAATCTCATGTGAGCGATAAGTAATCACTTCAAAAACTAATTAGTAATTTAATAGTACTACTACTTGTTTGATAAAATTGTTGGTGGAACATCATAACCTTTCTACTTCACATTTTTGTTTCCTTCTTATCTCAATCTTTCTAGATCTCTCCTCTCCAAAATCATTAGAAAAATATTCTTAATTTTTTAAATAAAGGAATTGACAAAATCCTAATCCTCCTCATCATTCTCTGATTTTCCTAAAACCAGGGTGTTTTCTCTTCTAATCATACGCAACACACATATATGTATTTTAATGGTCATTTACATTATAATATCACTCTGGCTAAATTTGTTTTCTTGTGTCTCTGGTCTTCTTAAGAGTTAAAGACCAACCCGTGATGTGATTCTCTAACCTATTTTCTCTCTGTTCCATTTCTTCTTCAATTTCTCTCCCAGATTTTGAATCCCAAAAACCTCCAAACCAACAACCATGAACAATCCATTAGTATCCATCACAAACTCAACAAAACTCTTGAAACCATCAATTCCGTACGGAATAAGCTTAATTAACACATCCATTAAGCAACAAAGCAAAACCCTTGTCGTCAAATCCAACAGTAGGTCAACAACACTGACCAACAATAATACTGTCTCGGTGGTTAGAAGGAGAGACAACAATGGTGGGTTTGAAGAAACGACGACGTTTACACAAGTAGATAGAAGAAGGGAGCAAGGAAAAGCAGCAGTTTTCTTGTGTGCTTTAGGGTATTGGGTTCAAGGCTCAAGGTGTTTCCCATGGCTTGCACTTAACTTTCACATGTCTCATTGTCTTAATCTCAAACCATCCACACTTCAGCTTGTACAATACACTGCTATTCTTCCCATGGTGGCTAAGCCTCTCTATGGAGTTCTCTCTGATGTTCTTTATATCGGTGGTGCTCGTAGAGTTCCTTACATCTCCATTGGAGGTTAGTCAACAAGATTCTCTCTTCTCTTGTCCTGACAAAACAGTGTGTGTGTGTGTCTCTCTCTCTCCTTTATCTTTCTCTGGTCTAAATTCAGTGTTGTTTGTTGTATCAGTGCTTTTGCAGGGTTTAGCATGGAGTTCATTGGCGATATTCCCGGGTGCTCGAGAAGTTCTACCTTCACTTATGGGATTTGTTCTGCTTAGTAATCTTGGAGCATCCATTGCTGAAGTTGCTAAAGACGCTCTTGTTGCGGAGTACGGTTTAAGATATCAAATGAACGGTCTTCAGTCTTATGCGCTAATGTCTTCAGCGTTTGGAGGAATCATTGGGAACTTACTTGGTGGATATTGCTTACTCAAGACACCTCCAAGAACTGTGTTTCTTGCTTTTGCAGCTTTGTTGTTACTTCAGCTCACTGTTTCTTTATCCTCTAAAGAAGAGTCCTTTGACAGAGAAGCAAGTCCAGAGAAAAGCTCGGTTTTCGGGATTGTAAAGAAACAGTTTACGGATCTTACGGGAATTGTTCAGGTGGATGAAATCTCTCAGCCTTTAACTTGGATAGTAGCTTCCATTGCGATGGTCCCTCTTCTCTCTGGATCAGTCTTTTGCTACCAAACTCAAATTCTAAACCTTGATCCTTCGGTTATCGGAGTGTCAAAGGTTATTGGACAGTTGATGCTTCTCTGTTTCACCGTGGTTTATGATCGTTACTTGAAGACACTTCCCATGAGGCCATTGATTCACATCGTTCAACTCCTCTACGCTTTTTCGATACTCTTCGATTATATCTTGGTGAAGCAAATAAATCTCGCATTCGGAATCTCCAATAAGGCTTTTGTGCTCTGTTTCTCTAGCGTGGCGGAAATTCTTGCACAATTCAAGATTCTTCCGTTTGCTGTCTTGCTAGCAAATATGTGCCCTCGAGGCAGTGAAGGATCCATCACATCTTTCCTTGCTTCAACACTGTGTTTGTCATCAATAGTTAGCGGATTCGCTGGAGTTGGAATGGCTAATCTTATCGGGATAACATCGAAGAATTACACAAACTTGCCTGCAGGGATTCTCATACAGTCTTTAGCAGCTTTGGTGCCTTTGTGGTTTATTCATTATGTTCCAATGTCAGAGCCTGAGTTTGAGAAAGAAGGAAAGAGAAGTATGAGTAAGAAAACCAGAAGGAATAGACGCATAGGAAGAGTAGTCGGTCAGGAAATCTTCGCTTACCGTCG